GTCTCTCGTATTTTCTCCTCACTATTTATTTAATCATATGATTTTTTTTTACAATTATACATTCTTGTTTTTTACGTTTTTTTTTTCCTTTGGTTTCACTTCCTTTTTTATTTGCTTCTTTAATAATAACACAATAATTAAAATTTAGAACTTACAAAATTATCCTTGCATGGTATGTGGCCTCAACTAGTAAAGCTTAAAATGACACTATAGTCATGCTCGGGAAAATACCTCTGGACTTGCATCCTATCAATCATGACAAGTTTCTATGCTCCAACCTAATATCATATTGAATCTGGAAGGATTTGGTCCGACCCGGCCATTAGCCTCACATAACCGGACTAGCAAGGTAAAATTGGCATTTCAACAGTAGAGCGCTTACAAGTCTAAAATTTTATTCATTTTATCGATTCGAATTTAAAATTTAATAAATTTTGTTACAGTAAAAAATTTTCAGAAACAGTCATATTTATTTTTTTTATTATAATAAAAAATTTTCATATAAAATCACATCTCAACTCAAATTAAAAATTTAAATAAGTAAAATTAACGGTTCTATTATTAAATTCTCTCTCTAAAATTTTTTACTTTATTATTTTTTTATTTACTATGGTTTCAATGGTCTGCATAGAATTACTCACTTTTTTTTGCTTGTCAGGAATTACTCACTTCTAACACGACATTGCAATGTCAGGCATGTGAATAGTAGAACGGTTAAAAACTGTTTTTATATTAAAGAACCAAGGAAAAGGGCAAAATGCAGGACAACACCAAGTAGCAGAGTAGCAACTAATCCAAACCAATCGAGGACGTTTAAACAGTTTTCCTTTTGGATAATTGAACTCTCACTTTTCTAGTACACGTGGAACCTACTTTCATATTCAATGTAAATATTAATATTAATTGTATATTTATTATTTAAAAATAATATAAAATGTTATTTTTTTAATACATAATTGTTATTTAAAATATTAAATTTACTTTTTTTAATAATTATTGCCCCTATTTATTTCAACAACTCAAACTTTTATTTATGATTCAAATTTTAATTTAGGATTCAAATTGGTGTTTTGGATTGGAAAGGAAAAGTCAAGGACAATTCAAACTATTAACAATAGTTCAAGAACAACTCAAATGGTTGAGTTTAGAATTCATCTCCTCCTAAATTTTAACAATCTAAATTGTTGTCAACAGTCTAATAGTTTCATATTTTATTTTTGTTCTCTCTTCAATTTAATTCTTAAAAATATCATAACTTTTTCATTTTAATTTTGATTGGGATTAATTTTTTGGCTCCGTTTATTTCACCGATTCGAGTTTTGCTACAGTAACAAACTATCAGAAACAGTTATATCTACCTCTCTTGCTACAGTTAAAAAACTCTAACATAAAGTCACATCTCAACTTAAATTAAAAACTCAAATCAGTGAACTACATAGATGTGTTCATAATGAAGAGATGAACAAATCCCTACTTATATTGCATATTTTCTAATATCATTTATAATGAGGTTTTATAAGATTTGTTACAAAACTCTAATGACCGTTTTAAACATTTTATCCAAACACAGTTCAGATTTTATTCCTAATTTAAATTATAATTTATTTGCATACCCAAACAACAATTTATATCACAGTTTGAATCACCACAATTCAGATTCTACAGTTCTAACAAAAAATGTTAAAATCTCTACAGTTTTTAATTATTGAACCAAACAAGCCCATTAAGTTTTGAAATTTGTAAAAGTAAACTTTTATGTTTAAAATAAATAAAAAAAATGCAAAAATTACATTAATTACATGAAAAAATAAACATTTCAACTAATAGAAATCAAATGTCAAATTTCTCATATGTTATACTTAGTGATAAATTTACCACAAAGTATAGCATATGAACAATTTGCCATCTTGCAATTGATTAGATAATTTCTTATTTTTATAGAAAACTCCACTTGACTATTCTCCCTAAATCATCATTATCATTTTCTTTTTCTTCTTTTAACCCCATTTCCAGGCCCAACTCATTTCTAAGTCCTCTGCTTTCTTATGCCAGTGTTTTGAACAACAACATCGGCGACAATTATGGGTCTTCTTTATACAATTCTATAAATGAAAATATCGTCGGAGAAATATTCTCTCCGACAAGCGTATATTTCGGGTCGTCTAAGGACGTTAATTATGGGTTGAAGCATCTATGAACCTGTTCAAGATGTGAGAATCCCATATTAGCAAAAGCAGACGATTGGGCTTGTTACCTTTGTGTATCCATAGACTATGAAGCTCATTTTGGCTAAAAGAAACCCACATTTTATTTGTGATTTTCGGGTGCTCGTTAAGCCTTACAAAGAGAAGGGGAAATTGTAGAAAAGTATGAGAAAAGTTTACTCGTATTGATCTCATCTAATCTCCTTACAATAATACCTTATTCAGATGGTTCATGTACTCGACACATGATGATTTTCGTTACTCATTGTAATAGAAGGATAAAACTTGTTAACGAAATAAAATTCAGGGAGAACGAATGTTACTTTTTAAAATTCGAAGGGCAAAGTGTTGCAAGAATCATAGTTCGAATGAAATTTTTGAAATTAATTCTAAATTTATAATTAACATATTAATTATAGCATTATATTGAAAATGCTCTAATAAGTCTTCCTCATCCTAGATTTTGGTTCATAAGCCATCCCAATAGTTACACATTCATCGATTCATATTGTACTTTTACATGTGATGCTCTTTGAATAAACATTTCTCAAGTGAAAAGTGGATTTTTTTATTTTGTTATTTTTTTTGTCACGAGATCATAGCCCCACGCAGTAGCATATTAAAAAATATGTAAATAAAAAGACAGTTTACCCTTGAGTCGGACAATTTGTTATCCTCTAAAATGCTGAGTTTCTTCTTTTATATTATAATAATTTTTTTTCTTGACTAATATGTTTTGTATTTGTCTTTAATAAAGGATCCTGCACAAGAAAAAATTTAAACCTAAAATTCATCTCCATAACTATGAATAATTAAGTATCTGTGACAACCAAGACCAAAGTTATAGAAAACACAATGACTATATAATGTACAAATCCTTGGTATTTATAATTTTTGAGACTCTCAATCAATAATAATAATATCAAAGTTCCTCGTTCACTTCGCTGATTCGAGTTTAGAATTTGAGTTGAGATGTGATTTTATGTGAGAGCTTTTTACTGTAGCAAAAAAGTTAGATGTGATTGTTTGTGAGAGCTTTTTACTGTAGAAAAACTCGAATTCTAAATTCAAATCAGCGAAGTGAACGGGACCTAAATGGTGACTCAACAAGTTTACAAGAGTCAAGCGATTTATTAAAAAAAAAAAAAAAGAACATAAAAAAGAAAAAAGGTCACAAGTAATTCTTAAAAAAAAAAAAAAAACCGAGTCAATCAGGGTAGACAAATGAGAAAGCAAAGTTACCAGTTAAAAGAAAATTAAGGTGGGACCCTCATGACAGTCACGCTGGTTACAACAGTTACAAAACTACGGGGACCGTGTTACACGCGCCTCGAAACTGCGACAGAGCAAACATTCTCAAAAAAAGCAACAACAAACAAAAAAACAATATATTTTGCTAAAAAAAACAAAAAGAAAAACAATATTAAATATAGAAAATTAAAAAAAAAACGAAAGGACAAATTTTAGTTCCAAAACCTCGGACTTCGAGATTACAGTCTTCTCTCCGTCTATCTCTCTCTATAATATTAGTTTTTCTTTTCTTTTTTTTTTCCTTCTAAGATAAATGAGATTCTCCATTCTCGGCACGCTCGCTCTCTAAAGCGTCGTTTCTGTCCCTCCAATCTCCATTCGTGCTGACCCTTCAACGCGTGCGTTGCACGCACTTTTCTTAAGTAAAAATTCTTTGAAAAAAATTAGATTTTATTTATTTTATTAATTTAAATTTTTAATTTTTAATTTTTATAATTAAAATTTTTTAAAAAATATCACATTTAATTTTTTATTATAATTAAATATTTTTAAAAATATTACATCCTAACATAAATTAAAAACTCAAATTTATAAAGTGAGAGAAAGCTTATAAGTACCATTAAAGAATTTTGATGAAAGCAGTGTTAATGTCAGCTTTTGAAGAGTTCTCTGTTTGGATGGTATTTTTTTTAATTTTTATTTCTTTTGGCTAAATGGCTGTCGTTGACAGCTGTGTGTTTTTTCTTTTAGGAAAATGAAATTTCTGAGATTTGTCTATTTATGATATAAATTACTTTTTTGACGGGTACTTCACTGCCACAATAAAAAAACAAAAAAAAATCCAAATTTAAAGCAAGATCACCAAAGGGTATGGTTGGGTAAGAAATTAGAGTTTAGAATTTATGATGAGTAGATTTGTTGGTCAAGTTGTTTCTATAATTGGAAGATAATTAAAAAAACACGAATTATGAAGTATAAGAAGATTTCTAAACATCAGTTTATTTTATAATCAAGTGACAACTTAAATTTTATTATTATAGTATTTTTTATCACAAAAATTAAAATTTAATTTTTTTATTATTATGTTTTATCTCACATGCACAGTTAAAATTTTTAACTTGAGCTGTGAATCAAATATATCCATAATTGGAATAAACTAATGAGATTTTTCTATTCCTATGCTTGGATGCAATGCATAATGATTTACCAAATCTAGTCATATGTGGCCTTATAAGAACAACACTTATAATTGCGTTGACCTTCCAACGTACGATTTGGTTAAAGCATATTGTGGGCTATAGGCTTACAACAACGTTTCCAGTGGGCTCCACAGTATCCACTCTATGACGTCTTCACTTAAGCAAAGCAATTTGATTGGTGCGTTGCTATCACGCACTGAAATTAGAAAGTGGAGGATTTTGGATTTTATTTTTATTTTTTACCCGCATTTGTTCAATGTAACTCTGCTTCACGCTCTTCCTTCTGCTTATTAACACAAAACAGTAGTTCTCTCTCTCTCTCTCTCTCCTTCTTGCCCCCCCCCCCGCCATACCACCTTTGTCATTTGTTATTCTCTCGTTACAGTGTCATTTCCTTCTCAAAAAATCTCAGTCCCTCTTCATCGTCTCTTTCACTTCCCTCTCCTTTCTTCTTCTACATTCTCTCTTCATTTTCCTCTGCAAAACCAGAAAATAAAAACCATGACCAGCAACAACAGCAAAGAAAAGCTAGTAGTGGAAGTTGTGGCGGCTCACAACCTGATGCCCAAAGACGGCGAAGGCTCGTCTTCTCCGTTCGTAGAAGTGGAGTTCGAGAACCAGAGGCTAAGAACCCAGGTGAAATACAAGGACTTGAACCCAGTTTGGAGCGAGAAGCTCGTTTTCCATGTCAAGGACGTCGCCGACCTTCCTTACCGGACAATAGAGATCAACGTCTTCAACGAGAGAAGATCGAGCAACAGCAGAAACTTCCTCGGCAAAGTCAGGGTCTCCGGTTCCAGCATTGCCAAGGAAGGCGAAGAGGTTCCTCAGCTCCACACGCTCGATAAACGGAGCTTGTTTTCCCACATCAGAGGAGAGATAACCTTAAAGCTTTACGTCTCCACCAGAGTGGAGGTTAAGGATATTGTCGGAGCTAATGAAACAGTAGTACTGTCCTCCAATGGGTTTTCGAAGAAGAATAAGAAAGCTCTGCAAGGCCCGAGCTCGGCCATGGCGACGCAGCAGCAGATTATGCAAGAGAACAAGGCTTCACAGCAAGGTCATCAAAGTTTGTCGAAGCCGGTGGAGCCGAACGTCCCTCGAGAGATCATGAAACCTGTTGTTATAACAACCGGACCGGCTCCGGTCATTCCCGTCGCCGCAGCCGGAGCCGCCGCCGGTGGCGTGTACTCACATGGGTCGAGCGAGTTCTCGCTTAAGGAGACTCGGCCTCTGCTCGGCGGAGAGTCGCTTCAGAAGGACAAGACAAGCTCGACCTACGACCTCGTCGAACAAATGCAGTATCTTTATGTTAGAGTGCTGAAAGCTCGGGAAATCTCGCTGTTCGGCGGCGCGGAGTTGGTGGCGGAGGTTAAGCTTGGGAACTACAGAGGGGTGACGAAGAGAGTTGGTTTGAACAATGTGGAGTGGGATCAAGTTTTCGCGTTTTCTAAGGATTGCATACAGTCGTCAATGGCGGAGATATTTGTTAAGGAGAGCAACAAAGACGAGGTTTTGGGACGTGTTTGGTTCGATTTGAACGAGGTTCCGAGGAGGGTTCCGCCGGATAGTCAGCTGGCTCCGCAGTGGTACAGAATGGAGGATAAGAAAGGGGACAGGTCTAAAGCTGGGGAAGTGATGTTGTCGGTTTGGTTTGGGACTCAGGCCGACGAGGCCTTCGCCGAGGCGTGGCATTCGAAGGCGGCGAACGTGCATTTCGACGGGCTTTCTTCGATCAAGTCCAAGGTTTACTTGTCCCCCAAGCTCTGGTACTTGAGAGTGTCGATTCTCGAAGCGCAGGACATCGTTCCCGGCGAGAAAGGCTCGGGCTTGATGAGGTTTCCGGAGCTTTCAGTGAAAGCCCAGGTGGGGAATCAAGTTCTCAAGACGAGAATTGCGCAGCCTAGCCCGACCAGAAGCCTCTCCAATCCTTACTGGATTGAAGAGATGATGTTTGTTGTTGCTGAGCCTTTTGAGGATTACTTGTTCGTTTCGGTTGAAGATCGGGTTGGCCCCGGGAGGGATGAGGTTGTCGGGAGAGTGATTCTTCCGGTGACGGCGATCGAGAAGAGGAACGACGAGAAGCCCGTCGTTTCGAGGTGGTTTAACCTTGACAACAGCCACTTTGGCAATGCGGGGGAGTCGAAAATGGTGGCGAGATTCGGGTCGAGAATTCATCTCCGGGTTTCTCTTGACGGAGGTTACCACGTGCTTGATGAAGCCACTATATATAGCAGCGACGTTAGGCCCACTGAGAAGCGTTTGTGGAAGCCCCATATTGGTGTTTTGGAAATGGGGATTTTGGGGGCGACGGGCCTTGTGCCGGTGAAGATCAAGGAAGGGAAAGGCGGCTCGACGGACTCGTATTGCATCGCGAAATACGGCCAGAAATGGGTTCGAACAAGGACTGTTGTAGATAGTTTGTCGCCCAAATGGAACGAGCAATACACTTGGGAAGTGTATGATCCTTGCACGGTGGTAACGGTTGGGGTGTTCGATAATTCTAGGATTGATAAGAACATGGCTAGTAACACCGGTGGCCGCGATTCGCGGATCGGGAAAGTGAGGATAAGGCTGTCGACGCTCGAGACCGATCGGGTTTACACTCACTCGTACCCGCTTCTGATGTTGCATACATCAGGGGTGAAGAAAATGGGGGAGCTTCACCTGGCGGTTAGATTCTCCTGCACCAATATGACCAACATGCTTCACATGTACACAATGCCGATGCTGCCCAAGATGCATTACGTGAATCCCTTGAGCGTGAACCAGTTGGAGAGCTTGAGGTACCAGGCGATGAACGTGGTGGCGTCGCGGCTCAGCCGGGCGGAGCCCCCACTCGGGCGGGAAGTAGTCGAGTACATGCTTGACCATGACTCCCACATGTGGAGCATGAGGAGGAGCAAGGCTAATTTCTTTCGCCTCATGAATGTGCTGTCTGGATTTATGGCTATAGGGCGTTGGATTGAGTCAATGCGCAATTGGCACAAGCCGGTTTACTCAGCCTTGTTCATGGCGTTTTTCCTGTTGCTTGTTGCTTTCCCTGAGCTCATTATCCCCGCCGTGTTGCTCTACATGGCGTTTATTGGGCTGTGGAGGTACCGGTCCCGGCCCCGCTACCCTCCCCACATGGACACCCGCCTGTCTCATGCAGAGAGCGTTTACCCTGATGAGCTCGATGAGGAATTCGATTCCTTCCCCACTAGTAGGATTGCGGATGTTGTTCGGATGAGGTACGATCGGCTGAGGAGCGTGGCCGGGAGGATTCAGACTGTTGTTGGAGATATGGCTTCACAAGGGGAGCGTTTTCAGGCGCTGATAAGCTGGCGAGACCCGAGGGCGAGTTTCTTGTTTGTGATATTTTGCTTGGTTGCTGCTGTTGGTTTCTATGCAGTGCCTATTAGAGTTGTGGTGGCTTTGTGGGGATTGTACGTGCTTAGGCCTCCGAGGTTCAGGAGCAAGTTGCCCTCTCGTGCTTTGAGTTTCTTCAAAAGGCTGCCCACAAGGGCAGATAGCTTGTTGTAGGAAGAATGGATTTGAAATGTTTTGACTAGTTAGGATTCGGAAAAAGAAACATTTTGTTTTTTGTTTGTTGGATGCTGTTTTCCCCTGAATCGTGTAGCTGTGTTGCTGTCTAGCGGAACTATTTACGAATTATGTAGGACCAATCTGTGTATCTAGAAAAATACCATTATGTTTTTAACTGTTATCTGTTTCTGTCCATTGGTACTCTGATGGTAATTAAATGCGAGGGTTTTTTAATCATAGAAGAAAATTTCACAACGTCGCGTGGGAAATGGCTCTACCATCTCTATCGCATGCTATTAAGAAGAAAAATACAAAAAAGATTATTTTTATTTCAATATATCTAAAATAACTCGTACATATAAATATGGTAAAACAAATTGCTAAAGCTGAAGCTGAATTGTTTTTATTTCAGTATAAAAGCACCGTCAGCAGTGAGGTCCACGTTTCTTAGTTATTCACTTCACCAATGATGGGTCGCCTCGGGATAAAAATGATGCGAGGCGTGGATCGGTGCGTTGAGGAAGTCCGCTCCGAGCTCCCATGGCTCTACAGCAAGCAGCTGCCTGCAATAAACAATCATATGAAAACAATGTAATCAAGAATGGATATTTGATAAACTTTGTTAGTTACCATCCAAATACCATCTTTGTAACTTTCTGGTTAATCGCCAAATGGACACAAAAAAATTAAACTTACCACTAGAGCAGCGAAAGGCAACATTTTCTCCACTGGCATGTTGGCGCAGATAGCTAAAAGTGAAACAAAAAATGTTGATCTTTTTATATCATTTGAAGATAACCGAAATAGATTCAGATTAATGTATGAACCTCCCTGTGCTGTTTAATGATCAGAAGAGAGTCTTCTGAAAATATGATCGCAAGCAGAAAAAGCAATTGAAAGGAAGAAATTGTGCTCATAATGCAGAAAGACAGTGGAAGATATGAAGTTGAAATGTTCAACATACAATATAGAACTGCTCCGATGAATGCATCACCAGCACCGGTTGAATCAATGACTTCTGAGGGTGGAATCTTCTCAGCCGTTCCCACAAGCAGCCTCCCAGTCACTGTTCCGATCCCATTAGCTCTTAATTTTGCCACTGACTGAGGATTGAAAGGAAGGTTATTAGTGGAAAGTAATAAATCTACTTCATTTGCAAACATTGATTACTTCATGTTCTGTGTGGTTATGTTTAACTGCCAACATCACTAATGTTGTTCAATAACTTTTGGGGGGTTAAGATCCCAGTCATACAAACATCATAATAACGACCGACGAACCATTTTGCTTCTAGCCTAAGGGCTTGCTTAAGAGTTTTACCAAGTGATCAACCATACACGCCAAGTCTAATAATTCATCGAGCAAAGCTCCAACTATCTAAATTGATAGCTTAAAACTTGGATGATCAATCCGTGATCTCGTGACACAAAAATTCAACTCTTTTTTATATATATAAAAAAACAAAATATTAATATGAAAAAAAAAAAAAAATTCAAGGGGAGGGAAAAAAGTCTGCTCTGAGTTGAATAAAAGTGAATCACCGATGAAATGTAAGTCGGGAAGGTTGGCTGGTCATCCTTTTTCTGCTTCAACAATTCTAGTAACCTGTCTACATCAATTTCCTCTTCCTGGGGATGCTCTGCCAGAAACAGAGTTTAATCAAAACCTGTATGTTTTTTAAACGGCAAATGATATAGACTACGGTCACATGATTTCTAGCCACAGCTATTAAGAAGGCTTCATATAATATTCCTACTCGGAAAAAAAAAGAAAAAGAAAAAAAAAAGAACAACACTTACCTTCTACACTTCTCTCAAGCATTAGGCATCCATCTTCTCCTAGAGTCACAATCACAAATTTCAGTTTTGGCAATCTCAAAAGCATGGAAACCAGTGCACTTGGAACAGAAGGTGCTCCTGTCCATGCCTGTAACACAAGAAATCCATTTCAATTTCCTGTGATATTAAACTCCGCAAATGTTCTTTTGGAAATTGCAAAACTGAAGATACAAAAAGATACGAAGAACTAGATCATATGGATAAGTTGAAAAAGAAAATTATCAGAATTAATTCTACTTGCCAGTGGGAATTTTGCTGAGCAAACAGCATAATCAGCCAATTCCAGAAGATCATCCTGCCCTTCTCTTACTCTTTCTGCTTCAACAAGAATAGGTATATTCTTCCTAATTGCCTGCAGAAGAAGAAGCCCATTGATGCTGTGATATTCCCGGGAATTCATCCTTTTCTACACTCTCCGTAAATTCAAAAAATTTCACTTTCAGAAGGATATAAATAGGTAGGACTGGATCGAGCACTAGTGATGATTAAGCAAACATGGTAACAAATTATAGCAAGGAAAATTTGTTACCAATAGCACCCTGCTATGGTATAGAGTTAGCATTTTATCATACTATTGAAGTATCATACTTCCTATGATGCATTTGAAGGATTCTAGGCTATCAATGTTATGTAAGGACTCGAATGATTTGAAAAACAATATAAATACTAGATTTCTTATAGCGAGAAAAGGAACTTAAGAGGAAGGAAAATGGAAGATCATCATGGGCAAGATGAGTACGATATATCATTCACCGGATGTTTCCCATTGGAATTAATTGTCATGGAACAACAACAGTGATAAACAATCTTCATCATACTATATATATATATATATATATATATACAACTTTCAAACTACTGTCGAAAATTCATCAACTACAACAATGCAAAATGATTTGAACACCAGAATGACAAGAAGACGATATATTACCTCCTTTGCAACAACTAAAGCAGTTTCATGCCAGCGTCCATCAAAGTATACAATTCTTGCACCATCTAATAGAGACACTAAAGTTGACGAGGAAAGCTCCTCAGGTTGCATAGGAGGATATCCCGGGGTGTGAATACAAGTGCGAGTTTTACTGCAATATCATTTTAGATTAATTAACCGAGCAATGAGGTTACAAGATGCCCACTTATTATTGAATAATAAACAAGTAATATACACGATAAATCCTTCTGCATCTTTGAAATTTACAAACAAAATAGACAGAGGAAAGAAAGGGTGCATCCTCACGTTTGGTCATCAACAATGATATAGGTAAATGGTGAATTACCGCCCTCAGCAACCTGGAAATAAAACTAAGGGAGTAAAAAAAATAAAAAATAAAAAAAAGACCAGCAAAATGCTTCTCTCTCTCTTTTCTTGCCTTTATTAGATAAAAGAAACAAGAACTCTTTCCAATTTCCATTATCTTAAAATAAAAGGGAACTCTTACTCTAAGAACTATTATTTTACCTTCCGATAACAACTTCTATTTTAACCGTTGGATTAATTTTTTAATAGTTTAATCCGTGAGTGTCCACATTAAATATTTGTAGTGCCTAGCGAATAGCTGCTCTTACTCATACATCAAACCATTGAAAAACGAATCCAACGGTTAAACAAAAATCCTTACCAAAAGGTGAAAATAGCACTCTTACTTCCAACGGTTAAAACAAGCATTGCCAATATTTAAAAATAGTAATTCCTACTATAAAAGTACCAAAATAAAAAACCCAAAAAGCATGTACCACAAGAAAAGAAGTATCCACGCCATCAGCTTCTAGCTCTTTCAGTATAGTCTTGCCTTGTGAATCATCAGCAACCTAGGATTTCACAAACCAATCCTTTAATAAACAACCCAAATAACGAAAAAAAAAAAAGCAATAAAACTAAGGAGAATATCTGCGACAAAAAATCAAAAACCTTTGAAACTAGCCTTGGACTTAATCCCAAGCGAGACGCGCAAGTCAAAGTATTCCCTGCATTTCCACCACCTTGGACCTAAAAACCAACAAATGTTTTCATTCACTCTTCAAAGCATTTTGCTACAACAAAATCAACCATAGAAATCAAGAAAGAGACTTTTGTATTTTTCTCGGAAAATTAGTAGCGGAAAGCAAATAATTACCATCAAGCTGGTGCTTCTGATCTTGTCGTCCGGCTTAGGATAAGCCGCCACCGCCGCCAAGAAGTCCACCCCCGCCGCACCGACGCTGACCTATTATTCACCCATCAACACCCAATTTACTCACTCTATAAAATCGCGAAATTAAAGCAACGAAAGACTAAGGCCTACTCATTTCACTATTTTAATTTTAAAATTTAAATTTTAATACAGTAAAAAAATTTTAAAAAGTCATATCTAATAATACAAAATTAAATAATTTTTCTCAAATTAAATTAAAAATTCGAATAAACGAATTAAACGGGCCTAAACAGCAAAGAAAGCAATGCAAACGCTAATCCGAAATCAAAGGGAGAGATCTAAAGAGAGAACGCACGACGACGCGATTTTCGGGGATTGGAAGCAATTCCGACGACATTTTGACCCTGAAAATTTTCTCTTTCTTCTCTGAGACAGTCCGTACAAGAAAACACTTGTATATATATAATTCAGTAGTGAAAGAAAGAATATTAATAAAGAAAAGAAAACTTGGTTAGCAAGAAATAAAAGTTAAGCCAAGCGGGGACCTGGTTGAGCCCAGGCGAGTAAAAGTCGTCGAAGAAGAAGAGAAAGTGGAATGCCAGAGAGTGGCATTCGGAAACGTGTGGAGGGAGAGCATTTTGAGCGGGGAAAAGCGCGTGGAGAGAAGGAAGTGGGAATGGTTGGATATGAAAGCTTCTGGGCCCTTGCTGGCGGCAAAAGCCGAAAGGCTTCGCGATTGGCTATGGCGTGGCTATTCCTGTAAGCGTCTGTAAGATTAGCCATCGGCCATTGATTGGTTGGTTCTTTGCTTTGAGTTCCTGTTTGGAAGCGGCCAGGTGGTTTCCTTATCCGGAGTTGGTTTTGGTGAGTTCCGGTTTGAGGTATTAAAAAACTTTTCATTTCACCAATTTAAATTTTATTATAATAAATTTTTTTTAAAAATAATTAAATTTAATTTTTTTTATTACAGTAAAATTTTTTTATATAAAATTATATTTAAATTTAAATTTAAAATTTAAAATAACGAATTAAACGGGGACTTCGAGTTTTTGTTTCCAAACATGGGCTCGAGAATGATTAGTAGTTAATTACCGGTAATTTCAACGGCTTGTAAGAGTAATGGAGGCGGACTTGTATCATCCCATCATCCTATTAGAAAAGGAAAAGCAGGATAGTGACTTGTCAACCCACTGGTTAATTCTTATTGGTGTTATAAGTTTAAATTGCAAGGTACGAATGCCGTGTTTGTTAAATTTTATAATAATATATGGTGTCCTTTTTTTATTTTTTCTAAGATATCATTATATGATTTAGGATGAGTTTGGTAATGTTTATTAGATTTTAAAATCACTTTTTTAAGGTTTGTTTAGTTTGTTAATTTGAGTTTTTAATTTAAATTGAGATGTAATTTTATGTGAGATCTTTTTACTCTAGTAAAAATATTAAATATGACTATTTGTGAGAGTTTTTTATTGTGGTAAAATTTGAATTCTAAACTCGAATCGGTAAAATAAACGGTGCCTTAGTCATTAGAAGTTGATAATAGTGTTTGGTAAAAAGTATGAAAAGTGATTTTTAAAATTTTTTTGAAGAATCTGCAGTAAAAATCAGAAACAACCCAAAAACAACTTTAATTTTTAGATTATGCGGGAATTAACATAGTACAATTAATAATTATCAATAAAGTTATATTAAATAATTAATAATTAATTAATAATTAATAAATAGATATACTTAATAATTAATAAACATATAGTGATTACTTAATTATTAATTAAATATTAATTTATTACTATTAAGTTTTTAATTTTGTTAATAAAAGAATATATAATATAGTAATTATTTGTTTAGTTATAAATTAATCTGCAAATTGAAAACCCTGTAATACATGATTTTTTCAAGGATTATTTTTATAAATACCCCCTAAACTATGTACCTTGTGTTGAAACACCCATTGATTATTTAAAATGCTTCAAAACACCCCCTGATATATAGAAAATAGATTAATATGCTCCCTCCATCCACTTCCGTGTATAATTTTAACGAATTTACTGACGTGACACGTTAAAATTAATTAAGGACATTAAATAATGATTTGCAGACGTAGCATATATTAAAAATTAACTAAAGCAATTAAGTTCAAATTTTACACACAAAACATATTACATATTAAAAAATAACAATAAAAAATTAAAAAACTTCTCTCTTGCTATATTTACAAAAAAGAAAAAAGAAAAATTCCGTCACATTCAAATTCAGAACAAGCGAGACTTTCTGAGGATGCCATCCTTGCATTTCAATGTTCTTTCATCTTCTTAATCTTGATTTCTGTTGTGATGTAAAGACCAAACAACCTCAAATCATATCAACTGAGACCTTCAACAATTAGTTTTCAAATTTTAAAACCACCCAACAACTAGACACCAAACCAACGTTAACCCCCTATTCCTGACGCCGATAATCCCTTCTTCAGATGGTGATTCAACCAGCTTATCATTCTCTTGTCTACCTTCATTAAGCTCGCCTCCCACTCAAGAACTTGCTTTTCGCCACCATCATTAACTCCGGCTTCGATGAGGGACGAAATCGAAAGGTTGAAGGGGCAGTGATCTGGGTTTGAGGAATTGTGCAGGACGACGGTTTGATTCCTAACTAGGAGGCACATCAAAGAGATGCAGCTGAGGGCAGGGCTGAAGGGGGTAGGCCGATGGGGGTGTGTGACGGGGTACTCACTACGGTGCTTCGGTGCTGAGAAATTGCGACTGAGAATTGGTACCAACAAAGCTTCAATTTGGAGGCGTAGACGGTGGAAGGGAGGCTGCCTGGTAAGGAAAGATAAATTTCTAAGGTTTTTTAGCTCAACATAGATAAAGGTTGAGATTCAGTGTACTTAGATCAAGGGCCCATATTAAATGGGTTTATTTTTATTTTTCCATTTTATATGTAAATATGATTTAATGCCTTTAATTAAGTTTTAATATTGATGCCATGTCAGCAAAATCTCTTAAATATACAGAGAAATAGATGGAGGGAGCATATTGATCTGTTTTCTATATATATCAAGGGGTGTTTTTAAGCATTTTAAAAAATCAGGGGGTTTTTTGACATATGGTACATAGTTCAGGGGCATTTGTAAAAATAATTCTTTCTTCAACTTAGTAAATCTATAAAGCGTTCTTAAGAAAGTTCCGTTTTAGCCAAAAAGCGTAATAAAAAAGAAAAATCAATAATGAAGCGTTGAAGCGCAAGAATATAAAATTTAGTGATATACAATACAGGGAGTATTTCACTTACATCTCCAACTCGTATGGTAATGAATCAAGAATTCCAAAATTAGAAGCCAGGGTTCTCTCCTTTTTCTCACATTTTTCTCCAAACATTGGGAACCGCAGGAATAGCAAACTCCTAAAACTACACTCCCATGGCTAACTGAAAAGCCAGGGTCCTTCTGGAACTGTACATTTCAAAAATAAAACAAAGAAACCTCATACGAAATCCCCATCATTCCAAGCACGTTTGGGAAGAAGGCCCCCGTGTTCACTCCTACTGCCTGTTAGTCTATAAAATGCTGGCTTGCTCCGAATAGTTCTCAGGGGCCCGGACCTGTTCCCGTGTCTAATTGGCAGAGATATCTCGTCCCCGATCAAACTTGAAGTTGAAAACGGTCTGTTATCCATCTCTTCAAGCTGCCCAGAACTGTACTCCATCGTAATGAAGGAAGAGGCCTGGCCATAAGTTAATCGAGGGCTGATCCCTCCAGCATTCCACCAGCTACTATCTGAGACTGCAAGATCGCCTTTGAAGTCGGAGTCTGGAGCAGAAGACTCTCTTTGACTGCAACAATCTCCACAAGTCTCGTCTGTATCATTGTATATCAGCTTCAGAGCCTGCACAACTTCACCCATGAATGGCCTATGAGTCACCTCAGGGTGTACACACATAGAAGCAATGGCTGCCACTTTAGCCATGTTGTCGAAGTCGCAGATTCCAGCCAAAGCAGGATCGACCAACTGTTCTAAACCTTCCCTGTTGGTCAGTAGAGGCCGGGCCCAAGTTACTAAATTCTCCTGTCCCTGAGGTTGGGACATGTCAACAGGTTTTCGACCAGAGAGAAGTTCCAACAGCACGACTCCGTAACTATAAACATCACTCTTGACAAGTAGGTGCCCTGTCATTGCATATTCTGGTGCAACGTACCTGAAATATTTTGGCAGAATATATGAGAATGGATCAAGATTATGTGAAAATTTCAGCAATGTACATTCACGTCGAATATTGTAAATTCTTTTACAAAGAAAAAAAATAGCAGTTAAAATGAAAAAAATTAAATCAGCACTGAGCAATTCCTTAAAAGTTCATCTGTGCAATAAGGAAAGATATGATACTTTTCTAAAATTTCATGAGTGACTATCATTACCCAAAAGTTCCCATAACACGTGTAGAAATATGCTGACTTCCCTCAGTTGCTTCTCTTGCCAATCCAAAATCAGAAACCTTGGGGGTGAAATCATCTTCCAACAAAACATTACTGGCCTTGAAATCTCGGTGGATGACTCGAGGATTTGAGTCTTCATGAAGATAAGCTAATCCTCTTGCTGCACCAAGGGCAATCTTCATCCGTGCATCCCAGTCAAGAGGTCCCTTTACTCTATCAACACCTAAAATGCAAACAAATCAAACGATTTATTTGAATGAAGGGCTTATCTATACGACAAGAATGACATAAAAAGCTCAATCACGTTTGTTAGCCTAGGTGCTTCTGGCTTTATAAGGTCAGAAAGAAGTTATAAGATTAAGAGATAGATGTCCACCTCGTAATGTAGTATGACTTCAAATCTAAGATAAAAAGAAAAAGATGCAGGCAATAACATACCATGTAAGTGGGACTCAACACTGCCATTGGGAACAAGTTCGTAGACCAAGCAACGTCTGCGTCCTTCAATGCATATTCCAATAAGTTTCACAAGATTACGGTGATGCAATCGGCTTAGCATCTCAACTTCTGCAATAAATTCACGGTCTCCATTCTGATTATCCCTTGTAAGCAACTTAACAGCAGCTTCAATTCCATCATCCATAATTCCTCGGTAAACACGTCCAAATCCTCCTTCACCCAAAATTCTTTTCGAACTAAACTTATCTGTTGCTTTCTCAAGCTCAGAAAGTGAAAAGGTTTTAACAGAGAGGATGCTGGGCGCCATGGTTGAAATCAAGGACACAGAAATAGAGCTTGCTATACTACTTGATAAGATTGATCCTATACCTGCATTACAGTCAAGAAGTAATTACCCAGGACATATACATGTGATTCCTAAAATAATCAGATTGGAGTTCAATATTTCATGCGCAATGATCAAATTGAGATGCAAAAACAACTAAACAGTTCAGTTCTCCCCTTAGTTTACGAAGTAAATACATCTAAAACATGAAAAGAAAGAGGAGCTTAACATGACCACACTGTAGTCTATTACGCTAAAATAGGCAATTGAAAAAAGAAGCATGCATGTATCAAAACGCTATAATTCTAGAGACTGACCAGATCTTTTATGAATCGATGATGTAAACGCAGGTCCAACGGCACTTGAAGGTTTTCCAACTTTCCTCCATTTTATAAAGATAGAGATTGCTCCAACTAAAACCAATACGAGTACAAATGCAGACAAAGCAATAATGACAATTGTTCTAACATTCATTCTCTGGTTCTTGTTCCTGAAGTTTGCAGTAATGGGGAGATTTCCAGCACTAGCAGTTGGACCACTATCAGCAAAATTTCCATATGGGGGCGAAGAAGGAATCCCTGATAACAAGATTTTCACTCTAAACAAGATGATCACAATATCCTAAACCAATCAAATTAACTGAGTGGAGGTAGTTACCTGGATAACTAATGTATATAACTTCATAACTACCAAATATAGTCTCGTTTAAAGGCACTTTATTATGCTGAAATCGCTGATATATTAGAATTGCAGTGGTATTATCAAACTTCTCTCCAAGTGGGACTAAGTTAATGTCCACCATCGTTCTTCCTTGATTTTGTGTATCAGCACTAGCGCCCATTATTTTCACTTGACTTTGCTCCAAGTATGTGCCTGCAGCAAGCTCACTCTCGAGCTCACTCATTACTGGAAAAACAGCAAATGGAGCAACATCCAGTAAAAGTCTGACTTTCATTGGAAAAACGCAACCACAAGGTGATCCAAAGGGTGTAGCAGTAAGTGGCTCCATACAAATTTGATCACAGCCTGCTGCCAAATTCATACCAATGATGTGATAGGAGAGATACCTCAAGAATAAAAACAGAGGGAAACAAGGCCTTCGGATTGTAAAACCGAATAACAACATAATCCAAATGTTTATCATTTAATCTAGTTCAGGCCTCAGGGCCTTAGGCTTTATTCTGGTTTAGAATAACATATAAATGAAAAGAAATAATAAAGATTTGAGCTAATTTTAAATCTTGTCCTAGCATCCGCACACTTAGGACAGACAACTAAAAGACCTAGTAGAGACAACTTGACTATATAACCACATTGCTCAAAACCATAAATTACCTTGGTCTTTTGATGGTGCTGGAGCAATGGCTCTGGGTCTCGCATGCCGTCGATGTTGATGATGACCATGCCTTGGGGAGACAGAACTGGTAGGACCTGATGGAAAAGGGAAATCACCACAATGTCAGTGACACCATCTTTTAGACCAATCGACATTGCAAGGGCAAGACATACCTTGATAAATTGGAGAAGGTGCAGGAGCATTAGAAGGTGCCAATGCGGGATTAAGCACCTCTGTCTTAGAGAACTTTGATGACCCAAAAGATAAACTCATCATGATCGACCTTGCTGCAGACATCAGTGCAACCACATAACTCTCCTATTTGAAGGTACTAAACTACTAATGCACGATGTAAGGAAACCAATGAAGATAATGGCGTAAACATTTGAATTCAATTTAATTATTGTTAAATCTTGTGCATGCTAAAGTTGGTTCAGGATAACAAGGTTGAACTCTGTTTAACTACATTTCACTTCAAAATCAGAATCCTTACCATGTTCCACCGAGAATTCTCTCATGTAAAAGAGATGGTTTGGCAGTTGAGAAGGAGACAAGTATATGTGCAATAAGGAATTCCCTGGCATCATAGAATATTATGTTACTTTTGTTCTAAAGTGCATCCATTACCGTATATAAAGTAATAACTCTACGTCATGGCCATGTATCAGTTTGCAACAACAATACCTTCTAATTCGAACTAAAGTCATTAAGTATACATACATAACTTCCTTTAAGAATAAACAGAATAATTTTAAAATAAATTGCTAAAGAATAGAGACTATAGTCTTCTAAAAAGAAAAAGACAAAAGAAATAAAACAACAACAACTATTAACCAGAAACAGTATCTACGCTAGAAAACTTCCATTATTTTTACGCTCGGTTCGCAATCTGAAAGTGTTGCCTTTACTTTTGACTTTTGTAACCTAGATAAATGCACTCTCGCTTTCTGGATTACGAAAGGACCAAGGAAAAGCTTAAAGATAAATGAGCAAAGTAACGACATCTAAAGACAAATGCACTTTAGCTTCCAGGATTAAGCAAAGCCATAAAAAATAATAAAAAAATAAACGGGTAACGTAACTTAATGATGCTTCTTTCCTCTAGCTACTTTTTGACTTGCGACATGTGAAAAGCCAAATTGTTCAGATTTAAACAGTACACTGCGTACAAACATTCAGAATTTTCTTTTCTCGGCGACCAAGCAAACCCCAAACAGTGAATCCAAAGTTACGGGAAGTGGGAAAAAAAAGGAAAAGAAGTACCTGAGCAAGGAAGAAGCAGAAGTAGCAGTTGAGAAAGAAGAAGGAGAAGAAGTGGAATCAGAGTTCGCATTTTCTCTCGCGAAGGCCAAATTCACACAAACCATTTTCAGATATCAGCACGGAGCTCGAGCTCGACAGAGGAAAGATTTCTAGGTTTCTGCTCAAGCAGTCGCCGGTGGCTAGCCTCTCCATCGAGTTTCGAGCTCGGCGAGAGGGATTGCATGGCTACTGGAGCTGGAACGGAGAGGCATGCGGCTGAAACAAACCCTAGGAGAGAGAATGAGAAGTCGAAGACAGCAATGCGGGTAGGTCGGATTGCAGATCCATAAAACGCGCTCGAAGATCTAGCTAAGCACAGAGAAGCTCCAATGTCTGTAGAGAGAGAGAGAGAGAGAGTTCCAAAGCAGAAAAGAGAGGTGAAGCTAGAGAGAGAGAGAGAGAAGAAAACAAAAGAGAGATCTTGGAGAGGAAAAGGAAGAGTGTGATACAGTAGGAGAGAGAGGGAGAGAGTGAGGAGAGAGAGAGAGAGAGAGGAGGGAACATAAGTGAGGTGGGGGACTTTATTGCTGGTGTGAAGCTCCAGCAAATACCGCTTCCCCCAGTAATTATGATGGCTGTCTGATCCACGCGCCTCCAAGGCCCGTGCCATGTAAATCTTACCCCCTCCCAAACGACACTCGGGCTTGTCGTTTCGTTTAAATACCGTTTTCTGTTGTTCTATTACGCAATACATACGTAAAAAAAGGGAATTTAAAAAAAAGTACTAATTTTCATTTTTATTCTTCCCAATTAATCGTAATTAGAACTCGTTTATTTTATTATTTTAAATTTTAAATTTTTATAATTAAATTTTTTTTTTTAAATATCATATCTCAATTTAAATTAAAAAGTGAAATTGACGAGGAAAATGACTATAACTATTTTGGGACTTGGTTAAGGAAAGAAAAAAAAAAGAGAATAAAATCGGACTTATAATCTGGTAACGGAGAAGAACGACACCACGACAGACATAATAGATCTGTTTTGTATTTGTTTTTGAATCTCGTCTTTCTTAAAATCATACCGTAATTAATACTGTTTTTAATTCCAAAAAAAACTGCTCTCTGCGACAACAAAGTCATATCTCTCGCAGCAAATTTATCTCGCAAATTCTTCGCCGGTGAGTCTTATCTCTCTTTAACTACAAATTATTGCTTTTTGACAAACCTAAACATCTCTTAAATGTTATCCCTTTCTCTCATTTTCTTCTTTTCTTTTGTTTTTTTAGTCAAAGCATAGTTCTAATTGTCTCTTAAGCTTTTTAGGAATCTGGTTTGACATTATTTAGGGTTAATGCTTTAATTTTTGTGTAATTTTTCTATTTATCATTCCAAGTTTTTCGCTTTTTACCGTATTAAATTTATCGGATTTTGTTTTGGTATTTTTTTTTTTGTTCGGTTGTGTACTTGAGCTCCATTGTGTTGAATTGGGCAAATTAGTTTGGAGCTTTTGGTGTACTGTTTACGTCTTTATGTAAAATTCGGCAAGTTTTCTTCTGGTTTCTTTTGGGGGTTTTGATGTTAATATACTTATTACGTGAATTTTGAGTGTTTGGATACTAGAAAACTGGCCTCTTGCCGACAGCCTTTCCATGGAACTCTTTTTTATTTTATTTTATTTTTTTTTCAATTTTTATGGTTTTGCGTACTTGTGAGTTTATGTTTTATGTATGTCAGTAATCACTCTTAGCGTTCTTTTGGGTTTTCTCAGGAAATAGGAATTTGGATCTTTGCAACAAGTTTGAGTGTTTAACTGAGAATTTTGCTGATATTTAGGAGGTTACAATGTTTTAAGTGTTTAACTGAGAATTTTGCGGATATTTAGGTTACTTCAAGAGGAATCATGGCTAATGGGAGTTTTTGAGTGTGAGAGGCTAGAAAGTTCACCAAAACGTCTTAGAATTTTCCGTACTTCAATGTCATCAGAGGCTTCGCGAATGGTGCTTGGCGCAAAGCGTCTAATAAAGAAGCATGAGTTTGTAAGAGTAATAATTCAATGCCTATACTCGTTAGGCTTTGATGAGTCAGCTTCATGTTTGGAGTTGGAGTCCGGTATTTCGGACAAATCCCTTGAATTTGAATTGCTCAAATCTCAAATACTAGCTGGGAATTGGGATGGTTGCATTCACACCCTTAGGACATTCAAAGACTTGGTGGATGATACGAGAGCTTCGGCTTTGTTTCTCATATTTAAACAGTGTATACTTGAGTATTTGAGTCGCGGAGATTATTCGTTGGCTTTAACCATTTTGCGGAAAGAGGTTTCTGCATTGGAAGTGGGCAGAGATAAGGTTCACAACCTTGCTCACAGTGTCCTTTCTTTGGAGGAGCTGGGAAAGAACGATGATAGCGTTGTTCTTGGACTGCGAAAAAAGTTGTTGAGAGAGTTGGAACATTTGCTTCCCCCACCATTTATTGTGCCCGAAAAAAGGTTGGAACATTTGGTTGAAACTATTGTGCTGGCTCAAATTGATTCATGTGTGTACCACAATTCACCAGATCTGGTTTCACTTTGTGTGGATCATTCATGTGGAAGAGATCAGATCCCCACAAAGACCATTCAGGTGTGCTTGCCAGTGATAATGCTTCAACTATGGTAGAACAAATTTCCATATTAACGAGAGCTGGAGATAAAATTAAACTGAGACAGCTCCAGTTTCTTTTGTTGATTTCCTGTTCTATTATAGTGACTTAAATTTGGACAATATGGTGCAGATTTTGACTGAACATAAAAACGAAGTATGGTTTGTACAATTTTCTAATAGTGGCAAGTACTTAGCGTCTTCATCAAGCGACTGCACAGCCATCATATGGGAGGTATTGTACGCATTGTTTCATGGAAAATTCATTAAAATATTATTCCAAGTCATTTGATGTAGCTTTGACGTTAGGATCGTTGAAGGCATAATACTCTAATATTTTAAGATCACATTGAATAACAGTACTACATTGAGTTCAATTGGGGTTTATCTTCGGTGAGAGATGAATTTTAAGGGTTTTTTTTTTTATCATGTATTTTTAGTTGTGATTGATAAAAATTAAATGGCATCAATGATGAAGCGTACTAATTTTATGTATTACTGTTCCCTTTTTTCCCAAGGTACTGGAAGATGGAAAGATAACACCGAAACACACGCTACTTAGTCACCAAAAACCAGTATCTTTTGTCGCGTGGAGCCCTGATGACACGAAGTTGCTCACCTGTGGAAATATGGAAGTTCTCAAGCTCTGGGAAGTGGAAATGGGTACACTGAAGCACACGTTTGGAGATCATACCTTCATTGTGGGCTCATGTGCTTGGTTTCCCGATTCTAAACGACTTGTATGTGGCAGTTCTGAACCCGAAAAAGGCATCTGCCTATGGGACTGTGATGGGAATGAGATAAAAGCGTGGAGAGGAATGAGGATGCCAAAAGTTCTGGATCTTGCGGTCACGCCCGATGGAGAAAATCTCATCTGTATATTCTGTGATAAAGAAATTCGCATTTTAAATGTGGGAACAAACGCTGAGCGTGTCATTTTGGAGGAGCACTCGATCACGTCCCTTTCACTTTCAGGAGACGGTGAGTTCTTCATTGTCAATCTTAACAGCCAGGAGATTCATATGTGGGATGTTGCTGGGAAATGGGAAAAGCCAATGAAGTACACGGGCCACAAGCAGAGCAAGTATGTGATACGATCGTGCTTTGGAGGATTGACTAGCAAATTTATTGCTAGTGGTAGTGAGAATACGCAGGTATTCTTATCTCTCATCCCAGCTACAGTCTTCCTGGTTCTAAGAAAGTGCCGTTTGTTCTTATCACACTATGGAGCAAACAGAACGTTAGAAAATTTAATGCTTATATTCTTAGCAGGTCTACATATGGAACCGGCGAAATTCCAGGCCAATTGAGGTTTTGTCTGGGCATTCAATGACTGTGAACTGTGTTAGCTGGAATCCTAGAAGGCATCGGATGCTGGCATCAGCGAGTGACGATCAAACAATCCGAATATGGGGGACCTAGCCCACCATATAACACGCCATCCCAGAAGCATAGTTAAACAGATAGATAACCAATTTTAACTCCTGTAAATAGCCTCTCCTCTTTTCTAGCGCTTATTCATTCACGAGTGTGTGTAAATTTGTAAAATGGCCGTCTTTCAAAATCTTTAGTATTGGATTTCCATTGCATCTTGTTTCATTTCACCCTTAGTAATCTAGTTGGCTTTGCATATTGCGCTTGTTTGTCCAATTTTTTATAACATCTGTAAAGCTATAGAATACATGGAGATGGGGAGTTTCTGGTTGTTGCCGTCCACTGAGATTCTTTTGAGACTATTTAGCCCTTTCTTTTTTTTAATTTAGGCGGACGCTGAATAATACTATTTAGTTATATATATATATACATATATTTATTTTGGTTAATTCTATATTGCGATAATGCTAATAGATACTAATTCCAACCGTACAAATCCGAGCAAATCGTTTTTCAATTGCTATTTTCATTTGTTCCCCTGAATTTTGTACTGATTCCAGCTTTATTCTTTAAAAACTCTCATTATAGTTTTATTCTCATTCTCACTTTACCTGTTAGTCTTTAAAAATTCTCATTTTACTACAAATCGCCCACTTTGTTTCTTGATGTTTAAGAACTCCATATTTACTACTCCAAATCAAAGACAGAAAGACTAAGTGCGCAAATTTTCATATTAATCTGGTTCGAGGTTTGATCTTTAATCACATCTGTGTTCGAACTTTGGAAACCTAGGAGATTGTCTATAATTCACAATGAATTGTCTATTTATTTCATGCGTTTAAACTCATAATTTTGATTTTGTTATAATGTTTTCTTTTTATAAAAAATTTGAAATTTAAATGTCATAATCAAGAATCACTAGTTTAAACGCATGAACCGAACAGACTCAAACATCTCTTTTCCTTCTCCTTTTTGTTTGCATTTGATTTTAGTTTTAATTTTATGTTTCTTTTGGAACCACATAATACTTCTAATGGAATTATGGAAACACAATGCACTAATCTAATAAAATAAAATTTTAAAATTATAAGTACGAGAATCATATTTTTCATAAATTATTTGAAGAATTCGACAGTAAAGACCTAAAAAATTAACTATTAATTGATTTTTATCTGTTAAATCAGCATTGAGATAGTCTGTTATAGTATTTTTAATCTAATTCTGACGAGATCTAAGTTCTAACAGTAAAAAATAGACATTATTAATGGGAGTAGAGCTGCAAGTTTGAGCTGGGCTAAACGGGCCGGCCTAAGACCTGTTACTATTGGCCCGAGAGTTTTTGGACGTAAGGCCAGGCTGGGCCGACCCAAGACTAGGCTAGGTTGCGCCCGCCTAACCTAAACATCATATTTTTAAAGATTTTTTAAAAATACTATATATATTTCCAGGTCAGACCGATCCTAAATTTTACAGTTAGGGCTAAACCGAGCTGATTCTTTTTCTTTTAAGACCGGGCTGAGTCGGCCTTAAATTTCTCTTTGGCCAGTGAGTTTAGGCCAGTCAGCCTAAACTTACATCTCTAAGGCCCCGTTCACTTCGTTGATTCGAGTTTAAAATTCGAGTTTTTTTACAGTAAAAAGCTCTTATAAACAATCATATCTAACTTTTTTGCTACAGTAAAAAGCTCTCACATAAAATCACATCTCAACTCGAATTCTAAACTCAAATCAACGAAGTGAACGGGGCCTTAAAGTAGGAGTTAGGACTCAAATTATTTGGATTTCTTTAAAATAAATAATTTAAAAGAAAATCATGTATCAGGGGTATTTTTGTAAAACCAGTTGCATGCCCTTTCCGGCGTTTTGTCCTTCTCTTTCCTAGCATTGGTCGCTGTACAAAATACAGTAACAACAACAACAAAAACAAGAACGGCCCAAAAAAAAAAAAAACAAAGAAAACACGGAAGCGAACGACAACGCCGGGAATCTCCTCTCCTACGAGAGAGAGATTTACACGCAAAGAGACGAGCCTTCCCTTTCTTCCAGATTCACAGAATTCCTCAGAGCGAAGATATGAGCCCTAGCAGATTATAGATGTTTCTGTTTCTGTCTCTTTCATGATCTTAGATTCATCTCTATCTCTGAATTCCCATGGATCCTCGCTCAAAAACGACGGCACCTTCGCAACCGCTAGATCGGTGCCCCGTTCCGTCCCCGCCGTCCGATAATTCCCGCCACAGGTTAGAGTTCATCGAATTATCCTCCTTGATCTGCTCATCTTCATACGCCTTGTTTATTTCTTACCGAAATTTGATCCGCGCACGTTTATGTGTTTGGAATTCCACTGCACAACTCCTGGATTTGAGGCGCGTCTTTGTTATAATTCAGCTTAGAGTTCTGTGTTTATTCTTTCTAAGAGTTCTTTATGGAAATTCGATGCCTTTTGCTAGTGAATTTCGCATCTTTAGTTAGTAATTGTTTGCGAACAAAGTGTGAAATTCTTTGTTGGTTTTAGTACGTAAGGAACATCAGAACATGTCGTTGAGTTATTGCTGAAACTAGATCTTAGATGTACTTGGTTATTGCTTGGGTCCTTTTATTTCTATTTTTCTTTTTGATGTTTTGGAACTTCAAAATCTCGATCGTTTCTTCGTTAAGTTGCCTGTGAAGTTTTGACTTTTGAGTTAATTGGAAGTTTCCCTGATTTTTGGTGTTCGATTAAAAACAAAAAAATAATGGAATGAAAATATATCCTTCTTAATCTCATTTTATAAGTTTCCAGTTTTGTCAGCAAGAGAAATGTTTTTGGCATGATTGCGCGGAGAGAAATTTCTCCGAGAACAAAACATATTCCCAGAAGGAACTGGGGAGAAGCTTTTAAAAGGAAAGCAGGTCCTTCGTCCGGGTCTCAAAGTGAAACAACTAGAGATCCAAAGCGTGCTCTTCTCTCTTGGTACTGCTCACAGTTCCCTTTTTCACCATTTACAATTTCTTGGGATGACGAGGCATTTTCTGTGAACGTGAGTTATCACGTTATCTTTTTTTATTTCATGTTCATAAAGTTCAAATTGTTATGTCTTGATTTTAGGGTTGAAGCAGAGTCGCTTCGGCATTTATCAGCAAAGTATTGCCCTCTATTGCCTCCACCTAGGTCAACTATTGCAGCAGCATTCAGTCCTGATGGAAGAACTCTTGCTTCTACACAGTAAGTCATCAATTATATGAATCTGTTATCTAAGTTTTAGCTTATGCTTGCAACTAACTGAAGGCCCCTTTAAATCTTTTGCTACTTGTAGTGGTGACCACACAGTAAAGATAATTGATTGCCAAACTGGCAGCTGCTTAAACGTTCTGACCGGACATAGGAGGACGCCTTGGGTGGTAAGGATTATTAATCGTTTATTTATATATATATATATATATATCATCATCATCATCATCATCATCATCATCATCATCATCATCATCAGCATCATCATCATCATCATGAACGTTGTTGAAAAGCTTAGGTTGTCTATATTTGTATGTTCATGAGACAAAATCTATTTTATTTTGTCCATATTGAAATGCTAATGGAGCTTTTACAGGTTAGGTTTCACCCATTGTGTCCAGAAATTCTTGCCAGTGGGAGCTTGGATCAAGAAGTTCACTTATGGGATGCTAACACGTCAGAGTGCATAGGGTCTTGTGATTTCTGTAATTTCAAGCCTTGACATCATTATTTATTTTTGTAACAGCAGGTTTTGTGGGTTCAAACTCTTTGTTTACTGCTCGCATAGTAAGTATGTTTTGCACTTTTTTCCTCATAGATCGCCCTATCGCATCCATTGCTTTCCACGCCAAAGGAGAATTTCTTGCTGTTGCTTCCGGTCATAAGGTGCTAATTTTTGTCTTTTAACTTTTCATGTTGGCTTATTATGCTTCTTATTTTCATTTTATCGTGATAAGTTTTATCCTTTCTGATTCTGTGACTACAATCTACAGGTTTCTAAGTGTTTTAGCCTTAATAACATGTGAAGTCCTGTTTCAGTTGTACATATGGAACTACAGCAAGAAAACTGCCCCAGCCATTGTATTGAAGACTCGACGTTCACTTCGAGCTGTTCATTTTCACCCACATGCTGCTCCATTTCTCTTAACAGCTGAGGTGTGTTACCAAAAGTGTGACTATAAAGTTGTTTATTCACTCTATCATGTAGGTTTCATTATTGGACTGATATGCAGGTCAATGATCTTGACTCTTCAGATTCCTCAATGACACAAGCAACATCTCTGGGTTACTTGCGATATCCTCCTCCAGCTGTTTTTGTGGCAAATTTTCATTCTAGTGACCGTCTTAGTTTTGCTGCTGAATTAGCACCAATGTCCTTACCTTTATTTTCTACGCCATCATTTTCTAATGAGGATTCAAGAATAGAACGACAACTAAGTATCCAAAATGCTGGTTCTTCTGGTTCAGTAAACTTTCAAACAGATGCAAATGCAGCAGAACAGTATCATAATGCGGTGCCTCCTATGGAGACATCTCCATCGGTTCCGCCTGGCTCCCATCCTGGTCTCACAGATGGTTCTTTTCATAGTAATCCAATATCAGATGCGATGGAGGCTGATGAAATGCAGCCTGTTGGGAGAACGCATAACAGAAACTTCACTAACCTAGATGCTCTTACTGTTAGTAGTGTTCGAGGGTCTGAACATAATCAAAATCGTCTAGAACTTGCTGAACTCGGGCAGCTTCATCGGATTTTACCTGGTGGAGACTATGCTTATTGGGAGCAACCTTTTCTGCAAGGGTGGCTAATGGGCCAAAGCCAAGCTGGTCTTCCCTCAATGCTCTCTCTTAATGGTAGTAACCGGGAACATTCGGCTCAAGCAACGGGTTCTATTTTGACATCCCATATAGAAAGTCACAATTTGGATGCGATGGTAGCTTCTTTGGCAATGCCAGGCAGCACTAGTCTATCTGGGGTTTCGGGAAGATCTGCCATTCAACAACGCTTTGCGAATCTACACTTCTCTGTACCCGAATCAGCGCATGGTCCTACGCCTGTTACCCTGCGCGAGGGTGGTGATGCCCAACCCATTATTAGCAGAATCCAGTCAGAACTTGTCACATCACTGGCTGCAGCAGCTGCTGCAGAGTTACCATGCACTGTGAAGTTAAGGGTCTGGTCACATGATATAACAAACCCTTCTGCCACGCTCAGTGCTGAAAGATGTCGATTAACCATACCCCATGCTGTTCTTTGTAGGTACGTTGAAATATATACTATTTATCATTTTATTGTCAAGACATTTTTTACTTTCTGCATGTGCATTGTGATGGAGATGAAACGTGGCCTCTACAGAGCTTCATTCAGTTGATTGCAATTTGGTGCCAACAAACTGCCAGGCTGCGATCATAAGTAGTAGCTTAGAATCAGTGATATTATTTATTTGGCATTTTAGTGGGTTGCATTTTACAAGTGTAAATGTGTGTATCTATGTATTTGCTTTTCTGTATCCCTTTTTTTTTTTTTTTAACTTCTCTAGGCTGCATGTGCTTTTGCAGTGAAATGGGTGCTCATTTCTCTCCTTGTGGGAGATTTTTAGCCGCTTGTGTTGCTTGCACGCTTCCTCAAACAGAAGCTGATTCCGGATTACAAACTCTAGTTCATCAAGATCCCGGTGCTGCCACTTCCCCAACTCGGCACCCAATCTCAGCACACCAAGTTATGTATGAACTTCGGATATATTCGCTCGAGGAAGCAACGTAATGCTTCGATACTTTTATTTCAGCTTTGTTATGCACTGACTTCTTTTCTCTTGAGACTTCTTTTCTCTTGATGCTTTATTCATATTGTTAATTTATTTTATACAGCTTCGGTTCAGTGCTTGTGTCACGAGCAATCAGAGCTGCACATTGTTTGACTTCAATCCAGGTCAGTTTTAGAATTATAAATCTGCTTTCATTATATGTATTGAATGGCTTTTTCTTTTGTCACGTTCTCATATATGGTTATGGTCCAAAAAACTACATTATTTTCTATGTAGTAAATGCTAAAGATGCGTACGTGTTATATGACAATGTTTTGGACCTGTGCATTTCATGATGCAGTTCTCACCCACCTCTGAACACATATTACTTGCCTATGGCCGACGTCATGGTTCTCTTCTTAAAAGTATAGTCATTGATGGGGAAACAACATTACCCATATATACTGTTCTGGAGGTAAGAACTATGTTTTTTGCTGTTATTGTCCTATTAACTGTCAGGGATCACTTTTTTCCTTTTCTTATCTTTTCAAATTCATGTTAGACCCTTTAAAGTTCACCAAAATGATCAAACATTTGCCAAAAGAGAAATCTGGAAAAGGAATAGGTTGTGTGATATATTGCAGAACATGTCTTATGATTGCCGTGTCATTGATATTCTTACTCAGAATGTGCACTGCTATTGTTGATTGCTTTGTTGTGTCAGCTTCCGTAATTCGTATTATTTACTATTTTTTTCTTTCTTTCTTTTTTCGTAATTCAGGTTTACAGAGTTTCAGATATGGAACTAGTGAGAGTGCTTCCTAGTGCAGAGGATGAGGTTAATGTCGCTTGCTTTCATCCTTTTGCTGGAGGAGGTCTTGTGTATGGAACCAAGGTCTGCTTGAGACTATCGAAGAAATTCTCATTCGATAGTTCCCTTTTCAACAAGTAAAAAGGGAGATTGACTAACATCAATTTGTTCTCTCATTTTTTTTATTTGGGTAAAATGCAGGAAGGAAAGCTTAGGGTCCTCCAGTATGATAGTGCTTATGGGGAACATTGCACCAGAGAAAATTAGTTCCCTGAGGGAACATCGCTGTTGTACTATAGTATAGTGACAAAGGTACCCCTCTTTTTTTTTTTTTTTGCACAAATGCTATGTCACCATTGATGATGCAATCATCATTTGAGGTAGTGTATTAAAATTGCCACATAACAGGGGCCTATGTTTTTTAGTTTTTGCCATATGACATTTTCTTTTACATGGCGATGCATCAATAGTAGTAATGACTAGCAATAATCATTCTCTTTTCCTTTTTGATTTTAAACCTTTGCCAAAATATGCATTTATTTTCTTGGGAGTACATGAAGATCCTCCGCTGTTTGTTTTGATGGTGATGTTATGAATTATGAAACCACATCAGTTAATATTTGTCTAGGAGCATGTGTGTCAGAATTAATCTTTTTCTTGCTTAGAATATAAAGTTTACTTTTATCTTAAGTAATAACATGAAGTTGTATATTTTTTTATTGTGTTCCTTCGAGCAGGTAATAGGTTCAGAAACAAATTTCAAATGGTAGAAATTAGTGATCTGACTTCACATGAGTTGTATAACCGAGCCAGATGGTATGCGCTCCAACTTGTTCTAACCTTTTTATCATTGTGTGAGAATCAAGATAAAAGGGGATTATAATGTGAAAAATTAAGGACAAAAAAATTACAGTTTAGCTTTGGTCACAAGATTTAAATGTGGTAAGAAATGATTGTGGTTCGGATAATACTCTACAGCAGCTACCGCACCATGTGTTGTGGCGAGAACGCGACTAGTCGTTGGAGTGCACTTCTATGTTCACTTCAGTGGCCAATCCTGTAAACTATTACTAAACTGATATAACAATTTGTACATTATCATTACCCTGTAACCGTAACACAAGTTTTTATTTTTATTTCAACTTTTTTTTTTCTGTAACAGTTTGTATTTTATGTTTCTTTTCTCGTTTTTTAAAATTCTTTCGATGGAAATTATGCTCAGCTAGAAATGTTTCTTTCCACCGATAATTGTGATTTGTGTGCTTAACAAATGCATTTTGATGTAATCTCCACGTATCGGATTGAGGAGGTGGAGGGGGTTGGAACTGATGAGAAAAAAACTTTCTGCACGGCCAAACGCTAAAGAAATAAAATAAACAAAGACATAATAATTAAAAAATGGTGGAATAGAAGCCGATTTGTTTCGGGTTTTGAAGATAACCTTTAGGTTAAGTACATCCTTAGTCAGAACCATTTGGGCTCTCCCCCTTTTTTTTTTTTTTTTTTTTTTTTTTTTTTTAAGGCACTTTTGTTCTTGCATTTTGCCTTCTAGCCAAAGTGATAGTTGTTAGCGTCTTGGCTTTGCGGCTACTTACTACGGCCTCGTTCACTTCGCGGATTCGAGTTTTCAATTCGAGCTGAGATGTGACATTTTTAGAGAGCTTTTCACTGTAGCAGAAAAAGTTAGACGTGACATTTTCTGAGAGCTTTTTACTGTAGAAACCTAAAACTGAAAACTCAAATCGGTGAAATGAACGAGGCCTACATGGATCATGGGTCAGTTTCTGGAAAGTAGAAGAGGGTCCCATTTGTTTGGCAGTTTCCAATTAGAAGATTTTAAGCCTTTTTAGTCTGAACAAGTGATTTAGAATGCCTCGTTCCGTTTGCGGATTCAAATTTTTAATTTAAGTTGAAATGTGATTTTATGTAGAAAAATAGTAAAAAATATGTCAATATGAAAAATTTAAGAAAGTATATAGGTCAATTTTTAGTTATAGAAATTAATAGGTCATAACTTGTCAAGTTATAGTTCATAACCAGATAAGTTATGAACGAACTTGTCAAGTTATGGTTCATAGCCAGACAAGTTATGGACAATTATGGACAATAACTTGTCAAGTTATAGTTCATAACTAGACAAGTTATGGATGAAAACAATAATTTGACCTATTTATTAACTTATGTAAACTATTAGCCTATTAATTTTAATTCATCTCAAATCTTGGCATATTTCCCTCTTTCTCCCTTTTATGTGAGTTTTTAATTATAGCAGAAAAAGTTAGACGTGACTTTTTATGAGAGCTTTTAACTGTAATAAAATTAAAATTGAAAACTCGAATTGATAAAATGAACGAGGTAATTTGTGGTATAAATTGTGATTCGAACTAGCATTTATTAGTGTGAAGTTTGAACAGTGAATAAAATTTAAATGTTTGATTTAAATCCATTAACGAAACGACAGGGTGCTAAAATTATGGGCCAGTTTGGTAACGGTTTCAAAATGATTTTGTTTTCAATAGAAAAGTAAAAATGAGATTGTTTTGAGAATCATTTTGAAAACAATTTTAAAATTGCGTTTGATTGGTTTTTAAGAAATTATTTTGAGTATAATAAAAAAGTGAAATGATGTTTGGTTATAATTATTAATTAATATGTTATAATATTGTTGATAGGTACTAGAAAATGAAAACAGAAAAAGGAAAACAACTTTCAACTATTTTTTAATTATTTCACAAAAACTATTCTCATTGTTTTCTATTTTTGTTTTTAAAACATTTACTAAACGAACACAGTTTGCACATCGTTTTTATTTTCATGCCTCAAAAAATGTGTAAAAATATTTTTAAAAATAATTAAAAATCAATTCTAAACGCACCCTATATCTCAAATTATCTATTCTCTTTTTTTTTTCTTTTTTTCTTTTTTTTTTTCTTAACGAGCTGACATTCAAATTCTAAATGTCAATACTAAGCTAAACTTACAACCACGCAAATCAACTTATTAAAAGGAGATTCAAAATTTATTAAAAATATTTAGACTTTTAAAAATAATAAATTAACGTTTGCAAACTACAACTAACATTCAAGAGGAACTTTGATTAACATTAACTGCACCCTTATAATGATATGGGTAAATGAAAGCCCTCCACAACCCCACCGGGCAAGCCTACTCAAAGGCCGCCCCTTCTTCATTCTCTCCTCCTTTATTCCCCGTTGTGTTCTTAGCTTAAGGCCTTACTGCACTTTCCGCATACTAGAACAGCAACAGAAACAACGGGGGAAAAGTGGATAAATATCTTTTTAAAATATATAAGTTTAAATTTTTATCTCTTATTTTTAATTAATATCTTTTTTAGTCAAATAATTATATTAGTCAAACGGATATTAATCAAGTATAAAAAGTAAAAATTAAGAGACAGTTGCAGTAACTAGACCAAAAAGCTTTTAATTACTCTTATCACCCACCCCTTAGACTATAAATATCACCCCCTTCCTTTGTAAAAATAATCTAATAGAAAAGTTTTATTCATAAAATAATAATTCAAAAATTTTTATTTGCAAAATGATTTTCTGAGAAGAAAGAAAAACAAAAAAAAAAGCAAATTTTTTTGATTTCTTCACATTCATTCTCCCGAAGAAGCCATTCTTCCCATTCTTCGGAAACACTTCGTCATCTCCGCATCTCTGCCAAAAATTCCTCCGCCTTTCTTCCTCTCTCTCGCTCCTTCTCTTTCTAGCCGCTGATTCTCAGCGTCGTAGGCTCCGATTCCAGCTTCTGCCGCCTTCGATTGTCGCTGCCGCCGTGGATTGTCGTCATCGCCGCCTAGTTGCCGACAAACCCAAGATCTCTCCCCTTACCATCAACGCTTCCTCATTTCCGGTCAGTTTTATCTCCATCTCGTTCCCTTTCTCATCGTAGAATTAAGAATTTATTCAAATAAAATAAATAAAATTAAAATTAAAAAGTCATTTTCTTAATTTTACTTTTTTACTCGGTTATTTTAGCCAAATTCTCTCTTTGCAATCCAAAAACGAAAGCCAAGAACCAGTGGGCAACGAAGCTATGAACAATACCCACGTGATGAGAGGCCTGCGAGCCCCCAAACCCCATAAAGCCACCCCACGATGGAGGTGCTCTAACGAATAAATATATTGGATATATTTATGACATTTTAGGACAATAAAAAATAATGCATCTATTTCATGCATCAATATGTGTCCAATTTACATTCATACAGTTGTTTGTATGACAAGCAAACAAAAACGCCGAGACTATTAATACTAAATCTTGAGTCGTGCGTGTATAGGGAGTTGTATGCGTAAAGATATGATTGAAAGATAATAGTCTAAATGTGTAATCTGTAATCTGTGGAATAAAGACAGACACTTTATTCTTAATAAGATTGTAATGAGTGTCTACTTTTAATTGAGGAGACGGCTTATTTTAACTGTCGGAGTGGGGTGTCTAAAGTAGATACTTTGATATATCTCTAGTGGTGGATATATATTTGACTTGATCTAAAGTGTAATTAATTTTATTAACAATTCTGTTTAACCAAAATCAATTCACTTTGATAGTCATTTGTGTAATTATCTTAATTCTAACAGAAATTCACGACTCCATGTATATAGCTTGTGTCTTTTGACATACTAAAGGCATGAATTCCGACGAACATAGAATTTCATGTCGATATGTTAGAGGCATAACTTATAAATGGTGCGAGCGTGATTTATAAATATGGAATCCATAATTATGTTAGAAGAGTTAATATTATCCTTTCAAATACATTATTTGGAAATTAGAAAATAACAAGGCCTCAATCATTTAGTTAAATCGGTAAAATGATTCTTTATTTTGTTTGTGTTATATTTTTAAAGGATTTTTCTAATGGTTGAATAATAGAACTTTGAGATAAAATAATCGGGAATATAAAACAAATTTTATCTCAACGATTATAGATAACTTATGAGAGTATTACATAAAATGAAATATCATGAACATAATTAATGGAGTTTCGTAATCCGGTATATAATCAAGAGTTCAACTTCGGACTTTCAGCGGAGTAGCACTGAAATTAATAATAAACAGTAAATTAATCAAACATTAATTTCTCTATTATTATTAGAGCTTGATTATATATGTCCATGGAATTTCTATGCTAGAAAGTTCTGTGGCTGAGTTTACAAAAGAGGAAGCAAACTTCGCTTCTTCCATTAAAAAAAAAAAAAAGGCTTCATTCATCACACGAAGAGATGTCAAAAAATCAAAATACACGGCCAAAGAAAAGATTTCATCATAAAGTAAGAAAAATGAATGAAGTCGTTGTACGACTCTTTAATTAACTACCAAAAAAAGTGTACGACTATAATTTTTTTTTATTTTTATTTTTATTTTTATTTTTGGCTAAAATTGTAGGACTATTATTTTACGCAGATAGATGGCATGTGACGGTGAGATGAGTAATACCGGGACTGGTAATTAAGTCAAACTAATATGATAAATGTTATTACCAAATTTTCTTACATAAATATGCATGTAATGTATCTCACCAATGGTATATCAAACCATCCAATTAAGAAATGACTAAAATTCCATAAAACATATAATTAGTATATTTCTGCTATTACTCAAGAGGACGTTGAATATTAGTGTTAGAATGAAAGTGGACGTAAGTGGTAACATAAAGTTGTGGTTGCAAGGATAAACCACGATACCATAGTAAGTAAATTGGCATCTTTACTTGTAATATTTCTCTATCCAAGTTTGGGAAAAATAAAGAGTAAGCTCGCTCCTCTATTAAGTATGTAATAACAGAGTATATAACGGCACGCGTGAGCCATCGACTAGTAATGGTATAAAGTGTAAGGGTTAATCTCACAAATAGTACTTGAAGTTTAGTCCCAATCTCACTTTAATTTTTGACTTTTTAAATTTCACACAGTTAATTCTTAAAGTTTTATTTTGTTTAATTTCGGCTGTTCTGTTAGTTTAGTGTTAAATATTTGAATAGATCTGTAGAAATTATAGACAAAAATTAGAAACATATAAAGTTTAGAGATTAAAACAATATAACAAATTAAAAGTTAATTTCTATGTATAGACTAAAATTTTTACTTATTTCTAATTTTAGACTCTAATTTATATAGATTCTATCAAATTTTAACGTCTAATTGATGGAAGGATAGAAACTGAAACAAAATAAAACCTCGGAAAGTATATGTGCGACATTTGAAAAGTCAGGGATTAAAGTGAGATTAAGTGTAAATCTCAGGGACCATTTGTGTGATTAATCCAAACTATAAAAAAAAAAGGTTATTCAATCAAATATTTGAGTGTTGGGTCTAAATTAAGGTTTCATTCATTGCACCGATTAAAATTTTTAGTTCTAAGTTTATACATTTAAAAGTTTTTAAAAAATATCACATCTAACTTTTTCTGCTAAAATTAAAAGCTTTAAAAAAATGTCACATCTCAACTCGAATCCGCGAAGCGAATAATACCTAAATGTGTTAGTTTGCACGTGTCAATCTATTATTTAATTTTAGAAACTAAAAAAAAAAAAAAAAAAACGACTGTGGTCAAGGCGCGTGCAAAAACAACGCACTATCCTTACTTTGCAAGGAAAGGTAAAGAAAGCAATGAATGAGAACACGGACTCACGGAGCATTTAAGTATTACTTCAGAATGGATCAGTTTGACGAAAAATGGAAAGGGAAAGAAAATTTTGCGCATTTCATTCCGTCATCATCGCAAACAACAGATCGAACTAAGCAATGGATTCCAACACAATAAGCACTTACTTAATCACATTAGTTTAATATGCATTATAACACCATATCCTGTAGCGGTAAGACACTAATTACTCTAAAATGTACCATATATTCCATTATTTTTTAATGGTAATGGTAAATAAGAAATTATGAAGGAACGAAACGAAAAATCCATAGATTCCATTATTTTTTAATCCTCTTATCTTTGAGAAGAACGAGGGGAAAAAATGTTACACGAAATGCACGAACAAGAAATAACTATCTTCTCCTTAATTGCATATTATTAAGGTCTTGTTTTTTTCGCTGATTTGAGTTTAGAATTCGAGTTTTACTACAGTAAAAAGCTCTCAGAAACAGTTACATTTAACTTTTTTGTTACAGTAAAAAGCTCTCACACAACATCACATCTCAACTCGAATTAACGAACCGAATGGGCCATCCACTTAAATTTGTGTAAGGGTATAATAATAAAATAAACCTAAAGAGACATTTTTCTCATCCTTTCTTTCTCTCCCACCAAACATCATTACCAAAAAAAAAAAAAAGTTCTCACTCGGTTTTTATCTCTTTTTTTTTTTCCTTTATCTTTCTCTTTTATTTTCTCTCATTCTTATCACACATTGTGTGTAACATTATTCTTGAGTTTTTTAACTGATGAAAACTGAAAACATAAATGTAGTTGAGTTTTTATTTTTCTTAGGAATATTTACTATTTTATACCCTGTGTTTTCAGTTTATTTAAAAATTATTATAACGCCCCTCCCGAGCCAGCAGTTAAAAATTGCGCTAGCTCGAGAGAAACGTTAACTTACTACTTAACATGCTAATACAATTCTTGAGCAAAATTCTTAATATTACATAATTCTTAATAGTACATCTATCACAATTACAATCCTTGAACAAATTCATAAGATTACAAATTTCATAACTTAAGATCTCTTAACTCGTCATGGGACTTTGAACCATTTTTGCTCAGTTAACTGGAATTTCTACTTTAGTACTTATCTGCATCACGAGAATTATTTGAACTCAAGCTCAGTAAGTAAACTATAGTAATTTTCACTTTGAAAATATTTTTCTTTAACATTTAGGGCCCTTTTTTTGTATAATATTCATCGTGTTATTAGAACCCATTTCTTATGGTCCCTATCTTAGAATCTCTTGTTCCTCAAGGATTTGGTCATTTACTTTATCATACTTTAATCAGTTCATAATAAACACAAGATTCATATCATACTCTGAAAATACTTTCTAAATCTCGATCTCATGAAAGTATTCCAACAATAACATATATAAATTAGAAACATTCATTAAAAACATACTATTGTTCAAGTGATACAGTGGAATATATACTTACAAATTCGCTCGTCGAGAGGAAAATCTGACTTTCGGTTCTCTCTCTCTCTCTCTCTCTCTCTCTCTCTCTCTCTCTCTCTCTCTCTCTCTCTCTCTCTCTCTCTCCATATGAAGGATGGAATGAATCCATCACCTATTTATGGATAGAACCTAGCCATTTTTTCCATATATAATATCTACCCTTGGATCATAAGTGTTTTGGCTAAATCTTGGCCATTGATGAAATTTCAAGTGTCCATCTACTTGACAAGTGTCTACTAAAAGATAATTTGAACTTTTCTTCTTTCCTAATATTTACAAGTGTCCACTTAGAAGAAAATTTGAGCTTTTTTTTCTTTCCTAATCTTGACAAGTGTCCATTACATGTGAATTCTTATGCATCTATATGTTATTTGATAAGGCGGGTATTACAATTATACCTTTAGTTTTTTATCTCATCAAATATATAACTTTAAATTATATTTAATACACAAATTTATACCTATCCACGGTCAACCCTCAATTTTAACCTTTAAAATACCTAAAATACCCTTGAATAAAAAAATAACAGATGAAAAAAAATTAAACTTACAGTTTTGACCTTAAAAATATTCAAAATACCTTGAAATGGTTTTTTTTTTGTGCTTTTTACTTTTATTTTTAGTAATATTGAAAAGTTTTAATTTTTTTCTCTCTTTTTTAGGATAATTTGGTCATCTTAAAGGTCAAAACCGAAATAAGGTATAGATATGTATATTAAATTTAATTTAAAAGTATATATTTTAATAAGATAAAAAATTAAAGATATAATTTTTTAATAAACCTAAAATACATGACATAAAAATATAAATATCTCTATTTCTTACGCCAGAAGAAAATAGAAAAATTACCCCAACCTTACCAAAACTAGAAACCCTAATGCTGATAGGCCAAGGTAGGTAAATAAGGGATGACAACCATAGTATGTTTTTAATTATATATATATATATATCCCAAGTTTTTGTGTTCCTCTTTTCGCCCTTTAAAACTTCCCTCCTGAAATGGTGGAATGAGAAGCCGGTGGCCATACTCTGCTAAAGGCGCTTTGAAATATTAAAAAAAAAAAAAATTTGAGAGGTCGTTTTTTAAATCAATAACTTGTGTTGTCTTTTAATGGCTAATGGGTTCCTTGTGTCGACCAAAGCAAAGGCGGTGCGTAAAGATGTTCGTTTTAAAAGTTCATTATTAATTTTAAATCATGATTTTTAATTTTTTATATTATTTTTTTTTATAAAAAATTTAAATTTTAAAAATTAAAATCATAAATTATAATTTTAAATTTATAAACTAAACTCCATGAATCTATAAAAAAGACAATATTGCATTGATTTCTCAAAAAAAAAAAAAAAAAACAAAAGATCATCTTGACCAGTCAAAGGAACATTAATATCTAGCTTAAAGACGTTGAGAAGATTAGTTTTGAATGAGACATGCATTGACTAATTGTTTTCCCTTTCTTTGACTGCCACTAGAAGAGATCACCATCCTCTGCATAATAATCCACAAACAGAAGACAACCCAGAACTTGAAAAAAAAAAAAAAAAAAAAAAAAGCGGGGAAGAAATATCCCAAAAATTGAGAGTAAATATTTGAAAGAATAAAATTTATAAGATAAAAAAAGAAAGAAATTAATCAACTAAACCAAGAAGGAGATCAAGGATGCTAAGAAGCCGTTGTTGATGATGATGATTCGAATTTGTAGTATTTATCAACGGCAAGTGAAACGTCCCAAGTGCAACTTATTCCCTTTGGTATGATTACAAGATCACCGGCACCAAACTCCACAAACTCCGATGACCCTTTTGGGTACGCCTTCACTTTTCCTTTCAACAAATAGCATGTTTCTTCTGCATCAAATTTCAGCTGATATTTCCCCGGCGAACAGCCCCATCTTCATATAAATAAAATAAAATAAAATAAAATAAAATAACATCCCAAGTCATAACTACTCATAACATATACAATTATAATATATAAGAACTAGATTATATATATATATTATAGAGAGAGAGAGAGAGAGAGAGAGAGAGAGAGAGAGAAGGCTTACTTGGGCCAACACTTGATTTTCAACTCGGAAAGCCTGGCTTCAGAAGGATTTCTCTCGACGATAATTCTTAGGTTATTATTTTCTGAGGAGTTGGATATTGATGATGATGATGCCATATTGAAAGATCTGCAGTATGATGGGTATGATTTCTTGTCTCTTTCTATATATATATATATATATATATATATATATATATATAGATTTTGGCCAATATATTACAATTGGATTTTTTGGAGAAATAATAAGTTGGAAGGTATCTTGTCCATGGAATAAGAAGAAGGATAAGAGATATGTTAATATATAGACGAGTGTTTGGATAGGCACCATGGTCTTCCCTCATTATTACCCTTTGACTTATCATATCTTGACATGTCATAATCACACATAATATATATCTTCATGTTGGTAATGGTTGTGCGTTGCATATATACCATTTGGCAATTAAAAAATATATATATCGTAAAATATCATATTTAGTAAAAATAAAAGAAAAGAAATATCAAAAAGCACCGAAAAATTTTTTAACGTATGTACGATTAGGTCAAACAATGCATGCATTAAGACGCACCAACCTATCCTTATCCAAAATTATTAGTTTTATATAATAATAATCATATGAATATCCTTAATCTACTAAAAACAACTTTAATATTGTTATGGTTGCAGGTATAGTTTAACAATAATTTCATATACATGCCTACATTATAAAGTATAGAGTTTGAATCTTTACTTCTAAGTTAAAAAAAAAAAATTTGATACTAATTACTCTTCTCACCTTTTTTTTTTTTGGTTTTGCCTTGCATATGGGTCTATATTTTAAAGAATTTTTCATAAAATCCATATTCTCACAAATTATATAAGATACTTTGAGTATGACATACTTTTTCCTTTATAATAAAGCTTGGCCCGATCAGATTTATGTTTTCTTGGATATTATGTATATCAAGTTGCCAAAGTGAAAGCAAACTCTAAAGGAAGCTTTGCAGGGTTGTCAATGAGGATCACATGTGGCGATGGGACTTCAGAAGGAAGATATCAGATATTTCCTACGGTCAAAGCGTTGACCGGATAATTCATCTGACAATAACACGTGGCAAAATATGATTGGGCATGTGTTTTAGTGTTGGACTGGGGAATCATGTTCTTGGAGATGCAGACATGGCACTTCCGACAATTTTTTTTTTTTTTTCCTGTTTGTCTCTATTCCATGATTTATGCAATTTTCCCTTGTTTTTTTTTTAATCGCAATTTTCCCTTGTTTTATGCGTATATTGTCTACATCTCATTCCTTACCCACAACGTACCATCCTACTTACTCAAGATTTTTGCACGTACGCTTACACGTGCGAAGATTAAATACCACAAATTTTCTTCTTGTTACGATCTGATTGTTTTTTTTTTTTCCTCTGAATCTTCCTGTTTTTGTTTATTACTCGACGATAGGTCATTTGTCTAAAAACGACAACATGGTCTTTTGTAAGACACGTGTTGATTTTTTTTTAATAGGAGAGAAGTAGGACCGGTAATATGGGTCACGACATGATTCAAAAACGACACGAATTTTACGGGTTAAGGTTGAGAAAAAAGAGATTCGGGTCAGAATCGGGTCGACCTAAAATTGACACGAAAAACACGTGTCAATTTTGGGTTGGACCTGCCTAATCCGAACACGACACGAAACTTGTAAAAAACTAAAAAATACATACATTTTTCATTTCATATTTTAAATTTTATTATGAACTCGTGATATCATGATAATTATACTCAAAATCTTATACTATTATTTACTTAATTTCAATGGATGTTATTGTAATTTAGTGTGTTATGAATTTTAAGTTATTTTTAATATGTAAAAAACTAAATAAAAGTATACAATTTTCGTGTTAATTTCGGATTCACGGGTCAATTTCGTGTCACGGGTCATTTTCAGGTCGTGTCGTGTTAACTCGTAAAGTGATCGTGTCGTGTTTGTGTTGCGGTTTTTAAAAGATTTCGTGTCACGGATCGTGTTCGGGTTGACTGCGAATTTAAAAAAAATGATCAAAACACGACACGTGACACGAATTGCTACCCCTAGGGAGAAGTACAAGATGATCAATCATTCAATCCTTTCCCACTTAAAATTGAAAATAAATGGTTATTCAATTTTTTAAACGTATACTACTTTCCAATGTCCATATGGTGATGTTTGGTTGGAGGATTCAAACCATGCGATTCGAACCATTTTCAATTTACGTGTATTTTTTATGAGAGAAAATACTGTAACGAACTAAGAATCATAATTCGAATCAGAAAATGAACCCTTCTACCAAACATCTTTGTCCATCCTTAAAAGTTAAAAAGTATCAAATCATCATTTTTTATGCATGCACTTGTAAAAAAGCAAGAATAAGCATGTGGTTGGTGATTTTTGCTCACTTAATCTTTAATAATAAGATGCCACATATATAACCTTTTTCACGCTCACGCTATAAGAAGATTTATAAGATTATTATATTTTGGGTTGGTCAGCAACTCAGCATTGTATTATGACTGTCTTCGGCCGCAAAAGACGGATGACAAATTTTTTAATAGAACACCTTTATTTATTTTGATGGGTTAAAATTTTACTATCCACATAAAATGACTCTTATATAAATATGTGAGATTTAATTTAGTAATAGAGTTTTATTTCAATCGGGATAAATATCAATTTTCTTTTCAATAAGATTTTCTTTTTTTATGTATTTATGTTATATATAATTTGATGCGGACAAAAGGCATGTCACAATTACATTCAAGACGTACAATCTTTCTGAAATTGTTTTTTGAGCTTTCGTTTTTTTTTTTTTTGGTCATAATACACACTAGTGTCGATTTTGGTAAAAGATTTTGATCATTTCAAATACTCATTCTAACCATGTTGATCAAATTAAATCCTTGATATAATCTAATTAAATTATATAATTTTGGTGGGGTGCTTGATTTTAGATTGATTAAGTAAAAATTATAATCTTCTATTAAAAAAAAGTAAACATCGGATAGAGATACAAATATACAATTGTGTTGATGACATTTCTTTTTGAGATGAATGATAAATACAAATTTTATTTCAGATTTTTTTTTTTTGAGATAGTCTTTTTTTTGACACGTGTTATAATAATTATCTCAACTAAATCAACTTAACAATAGGTCAAATTTTTCTAATATATTACAAGAGTGCCATCCCTTAACCCTCCAGTCCACACGTTTTTTTTTTGTTTGAATAATCGAATTTCCACTTAATAACACTTCTTCGGTACATATATACGAGACTATATTTTCATATTAAAATTAATATAACCTTGTAAACATTTTTTTTTTTTTAAAAACTCATTATTATTATGTACATTGATTGGCTATTACTGTCTTGCAAACTAAATTTTCCTGTTAGACCAAAAAAAAAACATAAGGAAGTTTCTCTGGTAGGATCAAAAAATAAACTATCGGTAATTTTTTATTTTCAGCTATTAAATTTGTATTAAAAAATTATATATTCTGCATATTTGTTCAATTTAATTTGATTTTGACCTAATCCAACGGTCAGAAAATTAACATTATCGTAGGATTATCTTAAGAAAAATACATTAATGTAAATAAAAAAAAAGAAAATTCAAGGTCACGCTTCACAATTTAGAGCCGTATGAAACAAAATAAAATCACATTAAAAAAAAGAGAAAAATACCTACCACCCATCACCAAAGAGAGTATCACAAACATGAGTCTAGATACAGATGATTTCAGTTCTCCATTTTAAAGCAAACCCAGGAAAAAAAAAAAAGTGTCTAGATACAGATGATTTCAGTTCTCAAATTTAAAGCAAACCCAGAAAAAAATAAAAATAAAAAAAGGGTCGAGTATGTCCCATACTTGTGCTACCAGGTAAGGAAGGAAAAGAGCCCTGAGGTCTAAATTTAATGTCAAGTAGAATTTTATGACCTGTTTAGTTTGTTAATTAAAATTTTTAATTTAAGTTTATATGTGATTTTATGTGAGAATTTTTTACTATAGTAAAAAAATTAGACGTGACTATTTCTGAGAGATTTTTATTATAGTAAAACTTAGAGGTGTCAATTGGGCAGGGCCGTCCATGGACGGCCCGGCCAAGCCCGCTACAGTAGTAAATTCGGCCCGGCCCGGCCCTGTACTGTTATGGGCCGGGCCGGCACGGCACGCCAGAAGGGCCTGGGCTGGGCCTCATGTTTGAAGCCCGCAGCCCAGGCACAGCCCAGGCACGGCCAAGGCCCAGGCACGGCCCAGGCCTGCCAAGGCCCAGGCACGCCAAGGGCTAGGCACGGCCCAGGCACGCGAAGGGCCAGGCCCGCGACATGAAATTTAAATGAGGTTTAAGGCATTTTAGGGTCGATTGGCCGACCTATGCCATCTGGTCAACCAATCATTTTCTTATAATTATTCATATTAATTCAATAAAATCACATATTTTTGTGGCATATGATATATTACTTTTTTTTGTCATCAAATTTGAAATTAAAAAAAATCCTAAAAATATTGCTAATCATCAATGAAACTCAAGTGCATTAAGAAAATTAGGTTAAGATTGAGTTTAGACATAACAGAATCTTCTAGAAGCACTTAAGTTTTGTAATTTACTTATCCTAGAATACTGCACTCTTTTTTTCTTCGCTAAGGTTTTGTCCCGATCTCCCCACGAGGTTTACTTGACAAGATTTTTAACGAGTTGATCATTTATGTGTACTTATTTGTATTATCTCAATTTAATAAAATCACATCTTTTGGGGACATATGATATATTTTCTTTTTTTTAATTAAATATTGAAAAAAAATTAAAAGGGCCAGGGCCGGCCCGTGAAGGGCCTGGGCCCAGGCCCGGCCCTGGCCCTTATGGACTAGGGCCAAGGGCCAGTGCTGGGCCTGAGGGTTTCTCCTCAGGCCCGGCGCTAGCACGGCCCAGGCCCACCATGGGCCTGGGGTTAGAAGGGCCGTGCCGGCCCGGCATGACCCTTTTTACATCTCTAGTAAAACTCGAATCGGTGAAATAAACGAGACCTTAATCCCTCCATCTCCATTGACGTCTTTCTCTGTTTTGGAACCACGACGAGATCCTCTCTCGAAACAATATGCAGAGAGCTCCTTTTGTCAAGAA